GCAGATCCGCCACGCACCCGTCGGGCTTTCAGCAAACGGTTGCGACCGGTGATGCATCGACCTCATGCTAGAAGGATTTCCCACTCATATTATGAAGTTTCGCAAGCGATTCCATAAGGGGCAGTTGCGGCTGCCCCGCTGGTATCCCGGCGTTGCTACTCCAACAAAGCGAAAGAAAGGTTGCCGTTGCTTCAACTTGGGATCGGATTGTTCGGCACAAAAAACACCCTCAACAGATGTCGGCAAGTTTGAACCAGGACGGGGCGTCCTCTCCATGCCTTCCATCATACAGTCCTGCCGGAAATCCCGCTGTCCTCCCGAAGGGGCCTGCAGGTTTTGCCAGTCAACACTGCTGAAGTCGCAAATCATTCCTAGCAAAGAGACAGATAAAAGACGAACCAGTCTTATTTTGCTGGTCAATCATAATAACGACAGTAGGACATGTTGATGGCACAAGGACACATCTGACCATAAAACCAGGAAAATCACATAGAAATCACGACAAGGCCCACCAATGGCAAGTATTCCAGCGAGCCTCGGTACGACCGAGAGATCAAGGGAAGTAAGTACCTTTGGATCAACGTCCCATTGCTGGATGAGAGAACTCCTTCCCGGTGCAGGTGCCAAGGAGCCGAAGGGGAATCAAGGACCTCGCTGCTTGGTGGGATGAGGCCAAGCAGGCACGGTTGGAAGAACTCTGGAGGAAAGAAAGAGGGAAGAGGGGGGTTGAGGGCATATTAATATTTCTCCTGTGGACGCGTTCCAATGTTCGCGTGTTTGTGGAGTACCTAGTCATTACCCCACTCCAGCCCGTCCCGACGCGTCCAACCTGACTTTTAAGGGCTTTTTTCACTTGTGTCCCGTCACCCGTCACATTCAACGTCGTTTTGATTCTTCCAATATTTTCCTGTGTCAATTCTTTTAGTCACAGATAACGTACCCGTAACTAGACTTCCGACCACAAGCTCCACAAAAATATCGCATAACAAATAGGTCGCCAGGTCAGGTTGGACTGCACATTAATATACTAGGATCTGGAGATCAAGTACAATGTTTGGCGAGGATTTGCAAGTGTTCTGACTTTGGCGGATCGTCCGACGTTAAAGGCAATTCAGGACCATATGAACATCATTCCGCCTTCAAACAAGAAACGATTGCTCTAATGGAAAATCACCTTGCTCGCGGAACTCAGTTTCTGAGGATCTGAACAGCTCACGGCAAGATCTCCTTCCCCATCCAATCCCAACACCTCCCTCTCCCTCCTTTAGCCTCTGGTGACAAACCACAAGCACCTCCAACAGCTCGTCGGCCGCATCGGCTGGCTCCAGCATTTCCCTCGTTGCACAGTCCCAGGATGCAGCGTCACAGCAATTGCCCTCTGCGCACTCTTCGCGCGCAAATGCAAATCAAAAGTCTTGGCCAGTTGGAATACAGCCGCCTTACTTGCACGATAGGAATACCATCCGCCCAAGGTATTGTCGGATATTGAGCCGACTCGAGCGGCCATCATTGCATAGATGGCATGCGAGGGCAGCCTTAGCTGTCCTGGCAAGTTGATTGCAGAGCTGGGCTCTGTTGTTGGGAATCCTGGTGAGGATTTCAATGCGATGAATTGGGAGAGGTGCTTCATGAGTAGCAACGGACCGAGGGAGTTGACTTTGAAGCTGTCCAGCGCACTGGCAGCATCGATTTTACTGGGTGATTTTTTCCGCATGCAAAATACCGGGGATTGTCAAGCCTAGCCTAAGCGGGGTGTTTGGATATTCCTGGCGGATTGTGTTTGCCATTGCTGATATCGTAGACTCATCTAGTGAGTCGTTTAGCCTTGTAATATCGAGAGGAATGTATTTCCAGGAATTTAGTTGCTCTTTTTACCAGTTACATCAACTTGGAGGATGCGGAGTCTCTCCTCTGCTTATTTGGGCATACTCTTGCTTGACAGCAACCGTTGTTGGAGTTCATCGCAGTTCTTGCGGGCTGTTGCAATCACAGGGAGCTCTGTTCGAGTTAGGAGCTGCTGTGCGAAGGCGAACCCCAGTCCTCGCGAGGCAGGGGTTACTAAGGCAAACCCATGAGTTGCTGGTAACATGGTGCATTTGCTGGACCAATATATATTTATTTTCAAGTAGATCGTGGAAGACAATTACAACGTGGAGTTGGTGATGTTCGACCTGAATATGACGTCATAAAGCATTCCTTTTAAGCTTCAATCGGATCTCCTGGCCTTCTCCACATCGCGAGGTTAGTTCAAGGCAATTTGGAACGACAGTCGACCCGTCTACACTCAATAATTATGAGGTACTTGTTGTTGATTGACTGCTTATCTCCCAACGCCCTCAAACACAACCAATGTACCTCAAGTCTTTCCCTCCAGACCAACAAAGAAGTCCCTGCCGAACTCGTCACTGCTATCATTGAAGCGAAGCTTCTTGTTGATCTTCTCAATCTTCTTCATGTCTTCCGGGCTCAGCTTGAAGTCCCCTGCGAGATTGGCTCTGATCCTCATGGGTGTTTTAGACTTCGGTAGCACCGAGTGGCCCTGCGTGACTCCCCAAGCTGCCAAATCACACTACAGTCAGCATCCTACAAACTAACTTCAGGCAGACCACACTTACCGAGAACGACCTGAGCGGGAGTCTTGTTATACTGCTCGCCTATCTCCGCCAACACAGGCTCCCCCAGCAGCTTCACAGGCCCGCTCTTCTCACCATAGAGAGCGTTCTGGTTCCCAAACGGCGAGTAGTGCTCGACGTGGATACCATTCTTACGATGCCATTCGGTGAAATCATGCTGCTGCAGCCAAGGGTGACATTCCATCTGGTGCATAGCGGGAACGATGGAAGTATGCTTGAGCAGGTGCTCCATCTCAGACTTGCTGAAGTTCGAGACGCCTATTGCCCTCGCCTTGCCGGTTTTCAGAAGCTGTTCCATTGCTCTGTACGTCTGCCTTGGTGTCAGCGCGCTTGAATTCATAGATCAAGAGATGAGAACATACGTCGGCGGTGTCGATATTCTCCTGGACCAGCTTTCCCTCCTTCTTCGGAAAGAGATCGTCGCCTCTTTGCCAGGCTACGGGCCAGTGAATCAGGAACATATCAACGTAGTCCATTCCCAGATTGTCCAGGGATTCCTGCAGAGCGGGTGCCACATCGTCCGGGTGGTGCTTGTTGTTCCATAGCTTAGTTGTGATGAAGAGTTCTTCGCGTGGGACGCCACTTCTCTTGACGCCATTGCCGACAGCCTGCTCGGTTCCGTAACTAATATACATTCAGTCAGTATGATGCGTTAAGCTTGTCGCTCGCCTCAGTGAGGAAGAAAGGCTACTCACACGCGCGCAGTATCGATGTGACGGTATCCTGCCTTGATTGCCTCCGCTACAGCATCTTCCTGTTCACTCGGATCCTGCCAGGTGCCGAAGCCAATGGCTGGTATCTCGGCTCCAGTGTTCAACTTGAAATTTGTGGGCATATTGATTGATTGATTGATTGATTTCAGCGATGATTCAACAGCTCGTTTCCAGGTCTAATTCAGAGCAACTCAAAGGCCATCGAAAGACCGACAAGATTATCAAAAGACACGTCAAACTGACGAATTCGCATATGTGGCCCGGGATTGTCCAGGGTCATGACGTATAAGTGACATATTCGGATTCTCAAAGTGTCACCGACGATTGCAGGATAGGAAGTCTACGAGTCTGGAAAAGAAGACTTCTTCAGCTAGCGAGCTTGAGCATTCCAACCCGCAGCTAGCTTTTCTCTGTCTATACGACAACGAGCTTCCCGGGACTTGGGTATGCCAACACTATGGCCATGGGTGCTGGTCAGCTTTCGTGTGATGCCTGCCTTCTACTAACTCTAGGGACGAGCTCAACATCAACAGGCTCCACCGCTGATTGCTAGATCAGAAATCATGCTGACGGTTCTCATGTTTGTAGACGCTGACGGCTCTTACCATCAAAC